GGGGGGGGGGGGGGGGATATGCATTTCTGGATTAATTTATTTTAGCATGGTGTGTTAATGCAGCAGAGCAACACCTTGAAAGAAGTGCAAATTTTTACTCTGCCCGCTGCTGTCACTGACTTGTCAAAATCTAGAGAAATATAACACATCTGCACAGCCTCCAAAATCAGAGCTCTTGAACTTCTCAGCAGCTCAGGCAACACACTCCACAAGCTGCACCAGCAGGGGCCATGGGCCCCCCATGGGTGGACATCCCCACCTGCCACCTCCACACTGCATAGCGCTTTGCTTCACCTGCAGGCTCCATGCTGCCTTTTTCACTGGGGCTATAGTGCTCTAGGCCTCTGGCTCACCTGGTACCATGGACTGTGCTGCCTTTTTCACTGGGGCAGCAGTAGCCAGATGAGAGCCCAGGGGTCACATGTTAACCTCTTGCAGGCCACATGTAGCTGACAGGCCGCCAGTTGGACAGCCCTCCTCCAAATCACAAATGCACTTCCACATGGATGTGCAGTTGTCCAGGTAGTCTGGGTATTTCCTTGTATTTCAAAAAAGTTGCACTTGCTACATATATTGAAAAATGCATCAAAATCTTTGTTTCCATCAATTAATCCAGGATTTTGGACTGGCATTCTTCAAAGCAGTATTTTTCTACTTGGGTATGTAGCCAGACAAAACAGAAAAAGAATCCAAAAAACTCGATCATAGTGCCATGCAGTCCAGATCAAACAGCATCTCATTTAAATAACCCTCTGATCAATAATGGTAAACAGTTTGGCCTCTCAACTCGGGATGCATAATCTTGCATGAAAAACCTTATGCAACTAGTCCATCAAGACAAGCACCTAGCTTTCTACAACATCCAATGACTTGCATTCCAAAAAGGCAAATTCCTTCTCTGTAAGGCATCTAGCCATTCACTATACCATTAATAACTCTAAAGGATTTTTTAAAATGTGTTTGAATTAACTACTATTTTCAATGCAAGTCAAACTTAACATATGGGTCTTTTAAATTTATTTAAGATTATCTTCTGTTGACGTTCCCAATGTGACCAAAAGAAAGCTACCTGGGAATTCAGATTTCCAACATAGACTGTTCTCCTAATTTCATCGATTTTGGAAGGATCCACATTTCCCATAATTGGTGGCTGTGGAATATCTCCAAGTGCTGCAATGTTAGGGTCCAAAGCTGCTGCTGGAATAGCTCCCAAGGTACCAAGTGAAACACCAAGCTGAAAATAGAAACACAGAAGAGTCTTTATAATCAGACATAAAAAAAGAGATATTTGGTCTTCCAGCAAGAGTTTTTATGTTCAGTACATCTGAGTAAAAAATAAACTGAAATTAGTACCATGAACAAATTAATTATAAAAAGTAAAGTAATGTGAGACCGTATTTTCAGAGTTAAACCCTAGTCTTAAAAAAAAAATCCCTCAACCCTTGCCCCTCATGTTTTTAATGTTCCATATATGACCAGTTACCACCTTATCAGAACTATCTGACCAATTATGCAATATCATCAAATCAGAAAGCCAATAAGCAGCTGATAGTCAGCTAACTTCAAACAAAATGATTTCAGTCAGCCATCAACAATCTATTTTTGCTACAAAATAAACTCCCTATTTAGGGCCTACCACTGCTGTGTGAAGAACTGTTGGTGACCCAGTCTCATTTTATTTAATTTAATTGTAGGACTGTTAAGAGCAATGAGAGAAGCAGGAGTTTTACAGTACAAGTACTGAAAATGCAGCTGATAACAGATGCAATAAATTTGATAAACAGTAATGAAAGGCAGTACATTTAACTCTATATTTGATCATGTTATTACTTTTTTTGGCAGTTGCTATATTTTTAATCCTATTTATAACTGACTTGCAGCACAACTGCTCTAAACTACAATACCTTCCATTGGCTTAAATTACACATGCATGGAGCATTTTACTACACTATATGCAGTGTGATTTTTTTTCTTTACTATCTTAACTGACTTGTAGCTATGCTAAAACAACTTTGCAGTGCTGACGTAGCTTTTGTGATAGAAAGACAAAAACATACTGTATTGACTTATAATATTTTACAATGATCACATATTTTACAATAATTTAAAATTTGATATTGTGATGATACAAGCATCTCACTTTCAACAGTTTTCCAGTTAAGCTTCTAGGTTTCTGTTTAAGTAGACTACATGTCTAAAACACATACATAACAATGACATTCTTCCATTAACGAGGGACTTAAAAGGCAATGGAAAGGAGTCTATTTAACATGGGAATAAAAGCCCCTTCTCACCTTGGATTTAAGTACAAGGAAGTGGCTGGGGAAGAGGAGGAGGGAGAAGAGCAGATGCTGTGCCTTCAAGTCAGGGTTGGAGTTGTAGCCGCAGCCACTGCCTGCCACCTTTGCCTCTTCATCTGTCCCCCACCACTGCTTCTGCCCTTCACCACCTCTGACCACTCTACCATCTCCCACAAGCATCACCTCTGGGGTCCAGACACAGGGGGAGGCACCGGGGAGTAAGTTAAGGGGGTCTATCAAGGCAGGGATCACTTGAGTCCATCACTACCTGTTTCCGCCCCCCCTGATTACACGAAGTTTATCTTAAATGCATTCTTTCCCTGCTGCTGCAGTGAAGAAAGCAGTGGTGGGGGTCAGGGAGACAATAGGGAGGTATGTGATGGAAGAAGTGGGGCAGGGGGGCCCTCTAGTAGGGCTGGGGACACGTGGGACAGGGCTGGGGGAGCCCTGTGGGTGACTGGGGGGATGTGGGAAGAGCCAGCAGGGTGGGGGCTGAAAAAGCAGGGAGGCGTCTGCAGGAAGCCCCATGTGGAGGGTCAGCCTGGCTCAATGGCACATGGACCAGGAGCCACGTACCACTGGGTCAGGTGGCAAGCCACACATGGAGGCATAGAGTCATGCACCATAGGACCTAAAGGGTTCCTGCTTGCCTCCATATATGTCTTCCCACTGGAGTGCTGGAAGCCCCACACAGGCACAGACTCAGCTGTGGTGTTGTGATTGACATGTACTGCATGGAGTCAGCCTGGTCTGGTTTGAAGGCATGCCAGCAGGCAGGGCCAGCTCTGTGCCAGCACACACAGGCCCTGGGACTCAGTCAGAGGCGCATCCCACCAGGGGTTCTACCTGCTGTGGCCATGACCACCCCGAGGGCCTGCTGCCCCCGAGCCACTGGCAGTGGGGCTGGGCACCACAAACAACACACCCACCAACAAGCTTCACACTCACACCCTTGCACAAACCACACAGCCCTTCATAACCGCCCCCATAGCCACACACAAGCCCCACACACTCCCACACTCACACCCCCTCTTTATAAAGATCTCTCTCTCTAGATAGATCTCTCTCGCTCACTACACAGAGCTCTCTCTCTCTATATATATATACATATACACACACACACACAGAAAGATCTCTGTCTATATACAGACAGATCTCTCTAGAGACAGATCTCTCTTGCATGCTATAGACAGATTGAGAGAGAGCTCTCTCTCTAGAGATCTATGTATATTTATAGATCTCTCTCTCTACATATATAGATCTCTCTCTCTACATATATAGATCTCTCTCTCTACATATAGTTCTCCATATATAGAGATCTCTCTCTCTATATATAAATAGCTACATATATAGAGATCTCTCTCTCTATAGGTATTTCTACACAGATCTCTCTCTCTCTAGATTTCTCTCTATATATAGGTATTTCTATATAGATCTCTCTCGTGGCCTTTCATTTTAATCATGGATTATGGGGGTTTTAATCGGAGAAGTTGTTATTTTTTATCAGAGAAATACAGGATCCCTGCTAATAATTAAACTCTGTACACACAGAAAATTATAACAAAATGTATATATTCTCCATGTACAGAATCTAATTATCAGGGAATTGTCTTAGATTTCAGCAAATATAGCAGCATGTACCGTGTAATCTATTCCTCCCCTCTGAACCCAGAAGAAGAGGCTACCTAGTTGGGCAGATGAAGTGAGCAGAAAAAAAATAAAACATTTTTCTAAACTCCAAAGAAATTAAGTTTTACTTACAGTGGTCAAAGGAGTTGGTGCTGGTATAGGAAGCAACCCTGCGCCAGGCATCAGGCTTGTCATAGTAGGAGCAGGAGCCAATAAAGAAAGGGCTTTGGCTTCATCTGGGATTTTACCTGGAGAAGCAAATGGAAGTGTTAGAGAGTTGATATACAACACAAATGGTGTTCTTTCTACGATTTTACATTTACCCTTGCATTTAAAAAATAATAATAAAGAAGAACGAATCTATCTACTAGGCCCTTACAAAGAAATAAATAAAGAACTTAAGTTTTTCCTTTTACCCTGTTCTACTAGGAAAAACAAAAGTGAGCAAACTTCAAAGACTAGCAATCTCATTAATGGATTATTATTTTACAAACTGAATAATGTAGACAATTATTTAACACTTTGAGCTATGGGTCACCTGTACTGGAAACTTAATGTTCATGAACCAAACGATATCAAGCATGGACGCTTTCCCAGGGCGGTGTTTTCACGGTGATCGAAAGTTGTTTTACACATGACAACCGTTCGTGTTGGCTGCATCACTAATAGCACACAGAACATCAGATACAGAAAAGAAGAACATTTTTTAAAGTTTAATCCCCAGAAATGGCAAATAACCAAATTAGTCAAAAAAAGAAAGAAAGAAAAAAGGAAAAAAAGAAAAAAAACAAGTACGTGTTAACTGACACCTGCCTCTGATCTTCTGCTAATGCTACCCAGTTTGGATGAGAAAAAAAAAATCCAGAGACTCCACACAAATTCTATAATGCACGTGGAATCAAGATAGGGGAAAAACAACACTGGAGCTGGACAGTTTCTGAGTCTAAGTCATCTGAAGTTAAATGGAACTTTAAAGTAAATTATAAATTTACCAAGATACCTGCTCAATTTTCATTTCCTTCCTAGTGTACTAAGCTTCCCTCAGAATTTATACTGCAGCTGTAACACATTTAAAATTCTCCAGGTCATGCTACTATTTTAACATGAAAATTTCCAAGATGCATTTTCCAAGATACTGATTTCTAATTTAAGGGATTTAAAATCGCAACAAAACCTAAACAATGAGATTAAAAAAAACAAAACAGAACTTCTAATCGTACTTGGGACCTAAGGACTGCTTAATCTGTTCCAAATTACCAAAGTAACCGCTCTATCCAATTCAGCCCCCATACATTACCTCATGCATATTACTAATAGGAATTAGCTTTTTTTATTTTTTTTTTATTTTACAATAAGAAAATATAAATAGGTCTTGGCTTTTAACACAAATTCTGTAACAGTACCCTTCTGCTGTTACAGTTCATTTGCACAGACTGGGGGGTTGTTATTAATATATACAAAAATACTCCTAATCAAAAAGTAAAATGGGAGGTAATTTTTCAAAGCATGGTGCAAAGTTTCAGCAGTACAGTTCCCATTACAGCTCACAGGAGTCATACAGCAAAAAGAACACTTTGAAGAATCTGCATTACAATTTGCAGCCCAGATGCATATTTGAGTTTGAGTTGGATATATTAAAAATACAAAACAAAATCAATGCAATGTAATGTGTAGAACAGAAAAAAATAAGAGCACAGTTCCAAATGCATTTTTGCTGCAGTCCTGTTAAACAAACACATTATTTTATTTTTAGTTAAATTTTGAAGACTTTGGTCCATAACACATAAGAGACCAAGCCATTTTGCTTTCTAAAAGAGAAAAATAAAATCAAATTATTAGTGCCCTGAAAATTAACTGCAAAATAACTTCTTCCATAATTTAAAAAAAATGCATAAATTCAAGTCATCAATGCTTTACTGGCCTCATTTTAAGTCAGACATGCAATGTAGGTACGTATATCTGATTTGCTTACGTGTTCATGGGAAGTAAATATTTGCTTGCACAAATTCCCAGCTATGCAACTTAACAGATATCTGAACATATATCCACAGTATTTGTGCATGCAAAGTAGACACACAATTACATACTTGACTTCTTGAAATCATAACGGTCCATATAACAGATCAGTAAGACCCTAATCTTGCAAAGACCTTCTCCTGCAATTACCCTATCACCTGTACAACAGCCCACAGAAGTCAATGTGATCTCATAAGTGAAAAAAATGTACAGCAACGGGGCCTAGAACAGTAATATTGTACACTAATTTAGGTCCTGGCTCAAAGTACTTAAGCACATGCATAACTTCAGCATAGACTTAAGCAATCCCTATTCAGAAAAAACTTAAATATATATTTATCTTTAAATATCTTTAAGCTTAAATACCTCCTTTAATAGGGGTGGCATTAAGAACGTATTTAAGCGGTAGATGAATCAGGGTCCTCAGCTCAGAAAAGTACTTAAGTATGTACCTAAACTCTAAGCATACAAACAGTACTTGAAGACAACAGTGAAACTACCAATTTCTTTAAATTTGGAAAACACTTAAGCAACTTACTGAATCATGACCTGATCTGTAATCAAACTATTAGAATAGTCCATGAAATGGATAAGTAATTTAAAATAATAAAATTAGTTTCCCTGTTCTGATCACCTGATTACATACTTTAAAATAACAAACATTATACATAATGTCATTGTTTTTCTCCACAAAAAAGTCCTTCCCTGTTCCCCTTACTCTTTTAATGGAAAACTGACTTCACCTCAAAGATCTGGAAACCTGTCTACATCTTCAGAATTTTACTTGATTTCTACAAATTTTCCTGAGCATCTAATTGAATATTTTTCAGTATGATTTTAAGAAAAAATAGCAATTTCACAGACAACAAAATACTGTAGAAACTGTCATAAAAATAAATCTAGAATCCTGAAAACAGAAATCATTTTGAAAAAATTCCTGCATGACTGCTAATCCAAAAGAGTGATAAACTGGCACTAAATAAATTTGAAACACACCCTCAAAGAGCTTTTCTATTCTTGAGCAGGTATTAAAAAAGGAATGTAAAGCCATAAAACTATAAAGAACATTCAGACGTCATATAAGCTGACAAAGTAGGACATTCATGCTGTACATCATCCTTAATTCACCCGTTCAAGTTGAATTGCAATGCTTTAAAGAGTACCAAAGCATGTCACTTCTACTTTACAAATCAGTTTTTGACTTATACTAGTTCAGGCAAGAGCTTTAATATTATTTTAATGACCTCTCTGGTATTCACTAATAAATGAAGGTATCATTCTTATTTATGGTAGGGCTTCTTTACAGCGATCTGGAATTACAAAGAGACCTTAAGTGGATCTAAATTGCTTCTGCTCCCCTCTTCTGAGCACATACTGCAAGAGTAAGTAATTTTGCCTTAATATGTAGTTCATCATCGGCATAGCACACAGGAGCCCTACTAGTGAACTAGGGCCCATTGCGCTAAGCACTGTATGAACACAGAACAAAAAAGACAATGTCTTAAGTAGGTACAAGTCACAGTATTTGATCCTCACGCAAGCGCTCAGAAGAACAAGTTTCTTGTTGTTTTGTACCAAAACTATCATTGCATGATTAAAAAAAGATTCAGTGACGAACAAATACATTTAAGTAAGTCACAGACATTTTCGACTCCTAGCCAGTCTGGTGGTAAGTGTAAGAATAGTTTGTTATTTTCCTGTTATGTCTAGTCACTTTCAAAAAATGCCAATTTGTGAATAATTTTTTTTGGAGAAAATTCCTTTTTCATTTCAAAATGAAAATACCGTTCTAGCATTTAATTGTGCAATACAAAAAAAGTTGTTTCCACCTTCCCACAGATAACATCATTAAAGACAATGCATCTTGCATACTCCCGTAAAAGCATCACACTCTGTTTACACTGGTGCGTGATAAATGTTTTAGTTAAACTATTTAATACAAAGAACACCAAAAGATGATCCCTTACTGCCACTGAGTTTAATGGTATAAGTTTTCCCTAAAACTAAATAAGATTTTCAGAACATTCTGTAGTTTCTCAACATTAATTCCACAAATAAAACTTAAACTCTTCACATGAGGAAAGAATATAAAACTCAAAATATAACTACCCATCTGATAATCGGAAACTTATTAAAAACATGACCTTATTCTATAAAAGCTTGAATGTCCAAAAGTAATAGAAAGGTTTCATCTGTCTTTTTCAAGTATGTATTCTTTAAAATGTAGCCCAAGGAAGAACAGATATCTATGACTGAAATATCTTTATCGCTACTTTACTGTTCATACACAATATACAAACCTGCCTGTCAAATTTGAATTAAGATGATGTCAAAGTTTATCTCCCCTACTTCACAACAGAAAATTTAGTTGGCCAAATTCTAAATTCTGCATATGCATGATCCACCATTCATGAATAGCTTCAGTGTCAACTTTAAAATGAAACATCATGAACCCTTTACAAAACACCATTTTTACAGAACTGAAGAACCAGTTCACAAATACAAGCAAAAGAGATTTAACAAAACAAAAAAGGGACAAAATAAAAAAAAGGGAAAAGAAAGCAAAATAAAATAATAAAAAACAGAGACAGGGCGTCCATCTTCAGCAGGCCAGACTTCGATCTCATTTCCCCCATGAAGGTTTCACTTGACGGCAGGTTTAGTGGCATGGCAAACAATGCCTAACTCAGGCAAGTGTAACAGGTCTGCCTTGGCCAGTCTAGTCATCTAATAATGCACAAATATCACACAGAGAAAACATACAAAACCAAATTAATAGTCAAAATCCATCTATCAGAAAATGTGGACATAAAGTTTAGAATGATGATTATGGTGGCATCTGTTATGTTTCAACCTTTGCTTTCTCGAAATATAACATTTAAAGAAAAACCTGTGATACACATAGAAAGGAAAGAGTAACATTTTGACAGCGTGATGAAATTTAACTTAATTTTTAATCACGTTTTTATTAGCAAGATGGCTAATGGTGAAGTATCTAAGTGAATGTTACAAAATTAGCATAATTTTCACACTTGGTTCCTTCCAATTACTCCTTTGAAATAACATTTTAGACAGGCGCTCAAAATGTTGGGTTTAATTTCTCTGTTGTTTTATTTTTTTTCACAACCAAGCTCTTATAACCTTTCCTCCTTCCTGCCCTATCATTCCTCAAGTTTCTTATCTGTACATTGGATGCTTCAGTAATGGCAGTGTTAGCCAAAAGCATTATCCTCGGTAAAATCCAGCCATTGCTACCTATAAAGTCTGTGATATACCACAACAGTCCTACTTATAGTCCAACAAACGTATATAAATAAATACTGCACTATGGTCTCTGCTGCCATGCATATTACACACCTACTTAGGAAGTTAAACTGCTATCAATTTAGACTGCATTTACAAATCAACATGATTTTGTACGAAAGTTACATGAAAACAGCATATTTCCAGTGTAAAACTTCAAAATTTGTTTAATACAGAAAACTGTATTGTTCTTTTGAGTCCTAGTGACTTGGAACATCAGTCAGCTATGAAAACCAGTTAAAATGGTCAAGGAGGTAAAAAAAGTGTTCTGATAACTTTGGGTTTAATCTTCCTCTCATTATCTACCATAAAGAGACAAAAAAAATGCACCTTTACCTGCCTGCTGCCAAATCACCTCAGGCAGTGATCTCATCATGAGAAAACCCAGGAAAGGTTGTTGTTTCGTTAGGCAGCAGCCTTCCCTCTCGGGCAGCACTGAACCAGTATTAAGATCTTTTGGATGAGACATAAAACTAAAATTTCCGAACATTTGTAATCAATGATCTTTTTACAATGTTTTCCAAGGGTATCAAACCAGATACATTGTGCCTATTCTCCATGCAACTTAAACTGGATGCAATTTTATATTTTTCTCCTTTGCTAAAGGTGAACATAGACCTCCCCCACACATATTAACAGGAGTAATTAAAAATGAATAAAATTGAAATAATTTTCTTAAAAATATATTTTCTAGGCTCCATGAAAACCTCTAGGCTCTTCTAAGTTTGCTAGAGACACCCCAAGATGTATCAGATCTGAAAGCCCAGGTCTTGTGCCCTCCCAGATGTGTTTTGGCAAGTCTGCTGTGCCAAGTAAGGTATTCTAGGGTCATCATTAGCAAACCCAAAACAGCCAAAGAATTTCGTTGAACCAAAAAGACCAATTTTAAGGCTTAAAGATGACTTAACATACTGGTTAGATCTGGCATTCAACACATTATTCACTTACATACCACATGCCACTCCCTCCAAAAATTAACCCTCCAAAACTGGGGGGGCCTTACTCAGTGAAGCTGATTTCCATGCCAAAATGGTAACAAGGAGATGCTGAAAAGGCTACCTGGGGCTGTGCTTCTCTCCCAGCCAGCATGTAGCAGGGATGGATTCTACTCTTCAGTGTCAGAGCCAGAGTTTTGATCCTCTCACAGCTAGTGTCAAATTGGCTGCAGCTTTTGGCTGAACAGCCAAGTCAACAGCACCTGTGATCACGTTAAAACTCTACCTCATGGCTAAGCAGCCAGGGAGGGCAAATGACACTGGAGAATGGATTCTGCCCTTGCTCCTTGCAGTCAGCATTTGGCTAGGACTCTGGAAACAAACCTCTCTCTCTTCATTTCTCCCTTCCCAAAACAAGGCATGTGTCTTATTTGGGGGGTGAGGGGTGGTATGCGAGAAAATATGGTATTTCTGCACTTACTGCAATTGATCTTCACAAATTTACTGTTAAATCATTCTGGTATACTGCTATGCAAGGTAAACAGCTGCTATGTTCACCTTAAAGACTGCTTTAATTCAATGGTTTGAGAAAATTATTTCCATGGACAAATGGCCAAGAAGGTCTACAATTTAACTCAGGCAGGCTGGCAGTCCCACAAAGAGTCCCAAAGAAGTCACTGAGGATCTCCTAACAGCAGAGATCTGTCTATGTCACCCAACTGCAGTAGCAGAGCCATAGTTTGCAAATCATTTTCAGATCATTGGGAATAGCATGTTAAGAAAAAGTACTATTTATGACCAAACATTTTTGGCAGCAATACGTTTAAAAGCAAATCTCCAGTAAATACTAATTGTTTTTTTGTCTTCTTAGAAACTATAAAACTGTTTTTTCATTTGAAACATTCTATAGGAAAATGCAATAAACTGCAGAGGCCTAGAAAAGTCAAAAAAGATACATTAGCATATACACAACTGCAAGTTTATTCAGTGCACATGAGATATTTTCCTAGTAACAATTTGGGTGCACTGACTTAAAGAAAGGTTTTTGACTAGCAATACTATGCTTTACAATTAAATAGTAATTTGGATTATCGCCATGGAATTATCAGAAAGAGAAACTTGCTTCAGCCAAATAGACACAGGTGCATGCTCAACACAAGAATTGGAATTCCGTCTAATATTAAAAGATTAAGTGCACACAGACTTATCTAAAAATTGTTTAAACCAGGTTACAGTTCACATTATAATTTGTTAAAAGGACAATTAAATGAAGTTCAATTTGCTTTTATGTGGCACACGGGGCTTAAACTGCAATCAGGCTACACAGGGAGAACACTGCAATCTTGCAGGGCAACAAAGACTTCAATGAGGACTGTGCACAGGGAGGAGGGTCTGCCTGTTCAGATCAAATTGAAAGACAAGGGTCTTAATTTATAAAGCCTTTTCCCCCCAAAAATGTACAACATACATCTATCATGAAATCTAATCTATTAACCATGCTTATGTTTCGTTATAACTAAAACTATATAAAAACATTTACGTGTGTGGACAAAACATTTCAATATTCTCCTTCCCATACCTATTTTGTTTCCTGCCCCCAATATCCCTCTTTCAAATTTATTTTGCTTAAAGAAAATATAACAAAAAGAAAATACACAACAGAGCATCAGCTACTTGTCAATTTCTGGGAAAGCTAAAAGAAATTAACAGACAGGACAAAGACCAACATTACAGAAAAGTGTCTAAAATACCAACCTTCTGCACAGGGTACAACTATCAGAGCTCTGTCAATAAAAACCGTGTTAGTTAGATGCTGGGCCACACCAACACTGGATGCTTCACGAAACTTAATATAACATACTTTGGAGGAAAAAGCAAGAGGTGCGTTGCTGCAAGACAAAAGGAAAAAACAATTAGTTTTATGAACAAATATGGATTTTATAGTTTTTTTCTTAAAAATATTTTTCTAAGCCAACCTATGCAGGAAGATATCTTCAGCAGAAATTAAATAATTTATCCATTTCTTGTCTGCCCACACAGAAAAAATGGTAGCACCTCCTCATTCTTAGCAAGGATTTGGTAAAGGGATGCCATAATATTTTCCATTAATAAGACTCTAGTGCCTTTACAAACCTATAAAACATTTACTAGTATACTCCAATGTACTAACATAAATAATGTAAAATCATCAGGAGTCTACTTGTCAAATACACAAGGTACATTAAATCTTTTTTTTCTTATGTAGCCTTTATTCACTTACTCCCAAACAGTATATTCTGTAATTTGCAATGACTCATCCAGGCACCATCACACATTAATTTACATTTTTCTCTATGTTCTTAATTAGATCAAGCTTATCCATTCTTATTAATAAAGTATGTTCTCCAGTAGCAGCAAAAAATTGGTCTTGGCTCACTGATAGGAAGGGATCCTTTGGCTATCTGCATGGTTTATTAACATATGGGATGACCTTGTTGTGGAAAAACTCACTTGGAGTAGGGGGAAAAAAAGGAAGATACATATTTATAGGTTAATCAGCATTTCTAATCAAACAACGCTAATCAAGAAGACGAAGCCCAAGTGCTTCAATCGTGACCAGCCAAGTTGGATCTGTGTAGTACTTTATTTACT